GATGATTACAAAATAAGACAGAGCAACTCATATGGGTTGCAACAAAGTAAGAAGGAAGAGAAAGCTTTAAATCCCCAATAGTCTCATTATTTTTAAATAAAACGTGATTTTCTATTCCCTTTCCCAAATTTAAATTAAAATAGGCATGTAAAATTATTTTTGTTAACTATATTTTGGCACAGAAATAATTTTATATTTGGAAAACTACCCTTAGATGGCAGATATATTTCTCCATTTCAGATTGTATAATTTTTAAAGGCACAGGCATAATAATATTACTGACAGCTTTTTACCCCAAAGAATTCTAAATCATTATCTAGGATGGAATTATAATACTTCATGATGTGTGGTCCTTGTGATGATCTGAACTTCGAAGAAACACACATACAGACAGATGTAAAGATTTATTTAGTAATGCTAGTATTGTTAATGAAGTAGTAACCTTTAGGACCAAATTTGATTGTTCTTTCACTCTGATCAAATTTAACTATTCTTCTCCCCTAGTATTTCTAAGAAAAAATTAAGGTCCTATATCCCTAGATTTTTTGGGGGGTGAGGGGGAATGTTAAATCAACATCTCAAAAATTCCCTGGTTAGTTTTTCAATGTTTACAGAGACCCCTTTTGTCAGTAGTTGGTTATTTCATGAAGTTACTGATAGGTTCAACTGATTAAAACAATATAAAAATAAGATTAGCTTAACAATTTAGGTTCTCAGTAGGAATGATAAATAAGTTGTGCTATGCATTTGCAATTACTGTCCTCTCCTGAGCTCCTGACAGACAATGATGATCAGTTATGGAGCGTTTTCCAACTGGGTTGAAAATTGAGACATTTCAGTTGGAACTTGAGTCAAAACATATTTGCTGGCTTGATATGAACCACAATTTGCATTTCCAACCCTGATCAGCTATCTTGCTTGGGAGAGAAAATACAGTTGGGGTTAATACAAATCTATTGCCTCTACTAGAAAATCAATTCTGAGAGCATGCACTGCTGATATATAATCAAAACTGCAGCTGTGTATATAAAGAACATATTATTAATGACCTAAACTAAGGGGCCTTTACTGGGGCCAACGTATATGCATGAACCTAACTTTCAGGGGACTCTTAGCTAACTTCACCTCTACCTTTGGCAAAACGTTAGGGGAATGCCAGGGAGCAGGGATTCCCCCATTTATCCAGTGATTACACTGAGATTTGAGGCAAGTTATTGAAGTGGAAGAATAGAGAATCTTTATGGTGACTAAGGTCAGTGCCTGAATTCTTTTTTTAACCAGAAAAATTCAACTTAATACTATACCAGATCCCCTTATTAATTGGTAATATCTTACATGAATTTTAACTACTGTAGTACTCTTATGCTAATGGTATTTATGCCCTTATGTTAATGGTGATTAGCATAATACCATACCCAACAGACATTTTTAACTACTTTTACTTTTAGAAATAAAAGCTCAGGAACATAGCTATCTGTAACTTAGAACTTTATGGCCCTTATTGAATGCCCTTACTGGTGAAAACAGTGAAATTTTACATGGTCTGACCAGATGCTAGTACATTCTGGGTACTTAATCAATGTTAAAACATGAGACTTGAATTAAGAAATGATATTACTGTACAATGTTCACTGCCTTTTGGCTTTGTACTTTCCTCTTCATAAAGCTTTAGCACATTCTCCTAGAGCCACTAACCAGGACAATTGCATTATCTATAATCATTAGTTTCTCCCTGATTCACTGCTTATAATTGACATCACTACATTTAGTTAAATTAAATTTGAAAAAATTTAGTGATTGAAAATAGCCAGTTAAGTGAACCAGCCAAAATGAACAGTGATTAGTAATGAAAAAAGATAATGATATGCATTGTGATAATTATTGCAATGCTTTTCTATCAAATGATCCTTTTAATTTCTCTTTCTCTTTTTCTCTTTTATAACTGGCAGACTTCTTCTGTAAGTATTTTTAGAATTGAGTGTTTATTGTAAAACTAGTTGAGTCAAACTGATTGTGACATTCATTTTTATTGATCCTGACAATGAATAGAGACAAAATAGATTAAGGAACTGTATTTTTAAAGGATCTAGTTCTCTCTCAACCCAGTCACAGTTTCCACTCCCTCTGTGAAGCTCCCTGATCACTAAACATTACCTGGCAGGTTTGGCATTGGCCCACAGCAAAATTTTCCACAATTGATCCATCCTACCTTCTGATGAAATATTAATAAGAGTATAAAGCCAACTTAACAGAATATGTCCTTCCATAAAATAAACTTTTTTTGTTTATCACTTTCCAGTGTCATTATCAATGTCATGGATGAGGCTTATGGCTATTATACTGCAGACTATTTATGATATTAGAATATAGCATTGTTCTCAGGTGACCTATGAAAAAGCAACCTGTCATTATTATTCAATCTAATTTTCTACTTCTGACCTTGTATCCATCTAACAATTGGGCTACTGTGTTAGGCACTGCAATATTCAATACATTTTCAGGCTTTTTGTTTAATTTTTCTCACAATATTTCTGTAAGGGTTAGCAACTTTGGGATTATATGGTTATTTTTGGCATTTTAATTTGGCAACACTGGTTATGTTAAAACAAACAACCTACTAGTACAATGAATAAATAATTGAAATTTGAAAACTGGTCCTGAAGGTTTCCCTCTAGATCATTACAGTTACTGGATATATGACTTTGAATTAGGTTCTTTGGGTTCTTGTTCAGGTTATTTAAGTTTAGTAATATACATTTAAGAAGGTGGTTATGAGAATCAGTTGAAATAATGTAGTAAAAATGCTTTGTGAACAAATATCTTTAGCAGCTTGGTCGACTCTCCTATATTTTACATGCCTATGCTCATCAGAGGTAAATTGAGAGAATTCCAAGTAATTGATTTATAATTCTGTCAGGGTTGCAAATAGTTGATCTAATGGTGATAAAGCTGATTTAAGGTTTTGGATTTTTTTCTCCTTTTCTTTAAAATTGGTTTCCATGTAAATTCCACATTTACTCTAAATGTCTTTATTATCTCTATATTTACTTCTAGTTAGGACTAGGGACAAAAGGAGGAGCCATTTTCCATGGTAAGTACTTGAAAAAGAACACACGAGCTAAGCCTGTTTTGAACTCACAACTCCCAAACTATATTTTTTTGACCAGGATAATGTAGTTCAACTGAGATGTTCTTTGCTTAACTGGTGCCTTAGAATAGCAATCCCAGAAAGGATCTTAAGGATCAACTCTTTCTTTAGTTAAGAGAGAGAGAGGTTATTGTCTTGCAGAAACATAAGGGCATTCCTCTGTAGGACAACAGTAAGTTTACTACAAAAGAAAGAAAGTTATAAAAGTTTAGTATACTTATATACTTAAAATAGGCAATAAGACTTCAAAATAATACTAATTTTCTATCCAGTCCCTGATTACCAATTTGACTATGCAGTTTTAGAGTTACTGCTCACTTAGAGAAACACATTTGCTTCTCTTCATACAGAACCTTTTATTTCACTTACCAGTGACAATGAATTATCTCATCTTGTTCACATGCATCAGCATTCTAACATTTTCCATTGCTGCCCTGAAAAATGTCCCCATACATTCAAAATTTTAAAACCTCTTCTCTTTTTCATTGACAAAACTTCAGAATTGAATGCTGTCTGTTCTTGTGATCCCTTTCATGCAATGCATTTTCAAAGGGCTTTCACATACATATTTCAAACATTGTTATCTCAGTTTTTAAGAGGGTATGCAATATTTTACTGCCACTGAAATGACTGCAAGTTTCTTTGAAGGACTTATAATCTCAGTTCCTTTTGTCAAGATGTATTTATGCATTTACTCTGCTCAAGAAATGCTTTTACACTTTTATACTTGTTCTAAAGATGTAAGTGGTAATATACAAATGCTTTTATATTTTCCCCAATGGAGCAAGAAATTTTATCCTCATTTTAAAGGAAATCCCTTTATTTTATTACTGTTAGAGGTGGAAAGAGGAATAGGCCATTGGAAAGTTTCCCTTTTAAGGGCTGGACAATGTCTTAATCGTCTATTATTTCTTTTTTAAAATGGAGGAAAATGGTGCAGATTGAACTTTTATTTATATGACTGATACAGATAGTCTGAGCATTTATGAAGTTAGGTAAAACCAGTTTATCCAGATAATACCTCTCGGTATTTTGTCGCAGATATTAAACTATAATGTTTTCCTAGAAGTGTGACAGCAGAATTCATTCTTTTATTTTAAAATACTGAATATGGTTGTATAAGTTTCCTATGGCTGCTGTAACAAATTACTGTAAATTTAGTGGCTTACAGGAGCACCCATTTATACTCTTATATTCCCAGAGATCAGAAGTCTAAAATGGATTGGCAGGACTACATTCCTTCTATAGGCTCTAAGGGAAAATCTTTGTCCTTGCTTTATAACGTCTAGAGGTGTCTAGGGGCTGCCTGCATTCGTTGGCATGGACTCACATCACTCTAAGCTCTGCTGCTATTGTTTCATCTCCTTCTGTGACATATCCTTCTGCCTCTCTCTTACAAGAACCTTTGTGATTACATTGAGATAATCCAGGATAATCCCCCATATCAAGGTCTTTAATTTAATTACATTTGCAAAGTTGCTTTTGCCATGTAAGGTAACATATTCATAGGTTCTAGGGATTAGAATATGGACATCTTCATGGGCCATTATTTTGTCTGTCACAATGATCATTTTAAAATGTGTGTTTATAAAAGATAAAAACACTAAATCCAAGAGGGAGATTTCTCTTTTAAATTATCATCACCGGGGGTGCCTGGGTGGCTCAGTCGTTAAGCATCTGCCTTCGGCTCAGGTCATGATCTCAGGGTCCTGGGATGGAGTCCGCTTTGGGCTCCCTGCTCGGTGGGGAGCCTGCTTTCCCTCTCCCACTCCCCTTGCTTGTATTCCCTTTCTCGCTGTCTCTCTCTGTCAAATAAATAAATAAAATCTTTAAAAAAAATTACCATCACTGTTACTATATATATTTTTTCTTTCTGTGAGATCATTGTAGTCCTCAGTTTTGGCAAAGGCACTTTTACTTAAATCAATCTTGATGAGTTAAACTAGGGAAGAAACCTAATCATGGTTTCTTCCAGGCCATATAAATCATAAGGAGAATGATTTGTCACTTCTTTTAACAATGACTAGAAGCAAAGGACATTTGTATAGGATATGTATTTCCAGATGGAGGGAAAATATATGTGATTGGGATTTGTAAGAGGCTGCTTTTTTCTGATTTAACAGACCTGTGAATAAGAATCATCCCATTCATATGGCAGGATTGTGTTCACCAGACTGATCATGAAGGAAGCGCTTACCTCAGGTAATTAGATGAACAAGAAAACACATTCAGTTCTCTGAAAATATCCCAAATAGTGTTTTAGAGATGATTCAACTATATCTTGAAATTGGTATTTTCAAAAAGTCTTGAATATTTCTCTGCCACTATGGCAATTCATTGTAGCACTTCCAATGACAGCGTTCTACAGAACAGGATTAATGAATTTTACTTTTGTCCTTTGTCTAGAAGGAATATAGTCCAAAGTTTTAAATGGCTCTTTCATATGAACATTTAGAGGGATTATTCTGTTGTCATTGTTCAGTTTTGAAATGATATTGGAAAGGAATAAACTAAAATATTTCAGTGATTTAGGAACAAAATTTGAACATTTGATCCTATCCCTATGAAGTCAATGCCATAAAAGGGGCACTCATTCTAAAAGGCTAGATATAAATGTACCAGTCAGGTCTTCATCATAATTTTTGAAAAGAGGAGGGAAAAAGATAGAATTTCAGGCACTTGATCTACTCTTTTGAGAGAGATTTTTATAGAAACCTAGGATAATATAAGTGCAGTGAAAGTAACATGAGATTGATGGGTAGAGGGTATGATGTCCACTTTGCTTGAGTCACTTAGGTCCAGATGGTCCAAAGGGGTAAGCCTTCCCTTGATTATATACAGTTACATCCCACTCTGAATCTATTTTCCATTGGTGTATAATGTTCCAGACACATGATATGTAGTTAATAAATATTTCTGAAAAGAAAAGAAGGAAGGGATATAAAATTAGGGTATGGGATTATTGGTGTATAGATCACTCTCAGCTTTATTTTTCTTTTTAAAGATTTTTTTAAAAGATTTTATTTATTATTTATGAGAGAGGGAGAGAGAGTGTGTGTGTAAGTGAGCGCACAGGGGGAGAAGCAGAGGGAGAGGGAGAAGCAGACTCTCTGCTGAGCAGAACCCTGGGATCATGACCTGAGCCGAAGGCAGATGCTTAACAGACTGAGCCACCCAGGCGCCCCTCAGCTTTATTTTTAAATTAATGGTTCATAAATTGAATTAAGGCAAAGCTTGAGAATGAGCATGTTTAATTTGTCTAAAAATAATTAAATCACTAAAATTATATAATTTGGCACTGATCATTTGTTTCTGATTTCTAAGTCTCTATACGAAAGAGAAAAGTACTATTAGAAGCTAGAAGAAGGGCAAATCTAAAAATAAATTTATCATGACTTTATTTTTTTATTCTTAAATAATATTAATGGATTTTCTTTTAAGAACATAGTCAATCAGAATTGATGAATATAAATAAAATATGCTTGTCATCCTGATATTGGGTACACAGATGTTTGTATAGTTCAAATTTGTAGCAGGTGAAACAGTAATGCTAGAGACACAGCTTTAAGAGCTTACTCAGATGAGTGCCACGGGGATCTGGCCTCTAAAATCCAAATGAAATGTGGCTGAATCCCAAGGGGACTGTATGCCTTTTTCCTAGACATCTTGGGCTGCAAGCTCTTCTTTACTGGCAAATTGGTTTCTTTCTGGATCACTTTGAGATCTCACATCATATGCTTTCCTTTTTCTTTTTCATGACACTCCCAGAAAGATCTCCATCCCTTTCCTTAAATCACACACACATTCACAAATTCTCACTAGATCAAGTTTTCAGGTATACAGAGTGAACCTTGAAGTTTTAGAGCAATAAAAATGTTTTTAAACCACACGTGGGGGACGTGTAACTGAATATAAGACATTCCTATTCTTAAAAGGAGCATTTTAGTCATTTTTGCTAACTTTGTCTCTAGCCTCATCAATTATCATCAGATTAAGTCTGAGTTCTCTGGCCTAGTCTCCAAGATCAGTTTTGGACTTCTCTTTCATATCTAAAAATTTAGTGAAATGCTTTATTAAATAATATCCCTTTAGCCCTGAATCTCACCTTTTCTCTTTTTCTGACTCATCTCTACAAAGAAAAGGAGTATATAAAGGTTTTCCCTTTGATGCAAATTATGTTTTCCTCCAAAGAAAGAAAAAATTACTACAGGTAGTTTATGGATTAAAATAATAATTTTGTCTATATTAAATAGTATTAGTTGAAGTTACGGTACTGCTGTCAATGTTAGATTATAACTGGTAAGGAGAAAAGGCCTGAGAAATTCAATCAAATGGTTTAGAGCTTGTGACACATGACAGCTCTTTGTATGCTTCTTAAATAGTCAGAGTAAAGATTACAAGGAAGTGGTTTTGTTCAGAACCCTTGGAAAACTGAATAATAGAACATATCTACAAGACTAATAGAGGTTCAAGTTAAGTCTGTTTGGCTGAGAACTCATAGAAAAATTGGTTGCTCATGTCCCTCCAACCATATGTACAGGAGGGCCTTTTAAAGAGAGCTTAGCTCTGTCCTGGCTAGTCAAGGAATACCACAGACTCACCTTTCTATTCATGAGTACTTTGCTTTGGATCCATGGTTACCAAAGCGGCAGTGAGCTGGGATCTTTCTTTGGGTACATGAAAAAAATCTGCTATTGAAAGTTGATAGTATTTGAGAATTTCATAAGCTTCTTCTCAGAAAGAGGTTAATATGGTATAGATACACAATAAATTAAGTATTAGATTCTTTGTTCAAATGCTCATAAGGAGAGGTAAGGTAAATTACTTCTCCAGTATATTCACATATGAAATGATAACTCTTAGGTCTTGAAGAAGTTAATGCAACCTTTGCAGGAATATGAATTCAAATCTGAATAGTTGCTTACTGATATGAGAAGCTTTCCTCGAGTGATTATCTATTTGTGTCTAGAAAAGGTCTTGTCTACACAATTTCAGAATTTGTAATAATTTTGCTCAATTCAAATAGCTTCTGTTTGAAATTATGTAGACAAGATTGTTTAGTTATTTTGATATATATTTTTCAATGAATTGTTTTTGGTGTCATTTGAGATTAACCCAAGCCAGGTATTTAACCCATAATTAAAACCAGTGAAGACACGATAGTACAGTGTTCACAGTGGCAGATTTGGGAGCCACACAGTCTGGGTTTGAATCTTTCCTCTGTCATCCAGTAGCTGTATGACTTTGGGAAAATTACTTAACCTCTTTTCTTACTTTTTCATCTATAAAATGAAAATAGTAACAGGTTCTCCCTCAGATGGTTGTTGTGAGGAGTAAATGAGTTAATAAGTAAAATTGCCCAGTAAATAGGGACTTTACAAATATTTTCTATAATCCATTTATGGTTATAAACATACATTACCTATGAAACAAACATGTACAAAAACTTGTATGGAAAAAACATGCTAATCTTAAACCATTTAGATTTCTAAATGCTCATTTTCTTTTAAAAATGGTAAAACGTTAATAAGGAATTTTAATTAGACTATAAATTGAGTGAATTTTTACCTTTTGGTTATATAGCATATAAAATACTTACTCATTTTAGCAAGGATTACAGGATAATAAACACTGAATATAGAAAAAACATCTGTTAATTATCCAAGGCTTAATAAATTTACATAGCAGTGAGTAGAGTTCAGCCTTAGGTTGTTTTCCTGATATTTACACTGTGTAATAAAGTCTGTGTTTTTATTGGGAGAAATATTAATTTAAGAAATAGAATGAAAAATTTTAATGGTCATAAGTAATGAGGAAATTGGTTTTGCAATTTTCATGGAAATGAAGCTATTTTTCCTCTATTTTTAAAGTCTTATCACATTAATGGGGAAAAAGGTACATTTAAGAGATAGTTGGTAAAATCTTATAAGAGCCTTGAATTGTTGAGATAAAAATGACTACAAAGGTTCCAGGAAGATTATTTTTTTTCTTTTTTATAAATTTAATTTAATTTAATTTTGTTATCTTAGTCACCATACAATACATCATTAGTTTTTGATGTAGTGATCCATGATTCATTGTTTTCATATAACATCCAGGAAGATTATTTATCTTGGAAGACTAACCTTATGACAGCATTATAAAATTTCAAATCTATTAATATTTTTACTCTTTAAACTGAGTATGTCCTAAGTAGAATTTAGTTAATAAAAGCATAAATGAAAGTGTTAAGTCAATTCAACATTGTAAGCATTCTTTATTACTGATGAATCATTTCAAAGAATAAGAGGCTAATCCTACAAACTTATTTACATTTTTGTATCTTGTCTGAAGTCAAAACTTCTCCTATTTTTATTCTGTTTTGACTTCATATATTGGATTCTTGCTACCAGTCTCTACAATTCTCTGAGACTTTCTCATCATACTCTTGCACCTTAAATTTCCTTTTTTAAAAAAAAATTTTCAGCTTTAAAAGCTGCTCAGACTTTTTGGCAATCTTCAGAAATATGTTTCTAATTTTGCCTATACCTCAAGCTACCAAGGCAACTCCTTCCTTTTCTTTCCTGTCAACCATCTTAATGGGCCTTATACACCCTTTGCCTCTATTTTCTCATATCTCCTTTGCTCCTTACCACAGTGTGATTGATGACCCCACACAGTCCTGTCATTGCTCTCACAAGTCACCAGAGATCAGCCTCTGTCAAATTCAATGGTGTCTTATAATCTAAAATCTGCCAGTTCTCTCTGCTGCATTGGACAATTTTTTTTTAATTGACATATAATTGACATATAACCTTGTGTAAATTTCAAGTTTACAACATGATGATTTGATACATTTATATATTGCAATATGATTAGCTATCACCATAGTGTTAGTTAATTATGGTGAGAACATTTAAGATCTAGTCTCTTAGTAACTTTGAAGTATATAACACATATAGTATTGTTGACTATCATCACTACACTTCGCGTTAGATCTCCAGAACTTATTCACCTTCTAGTTGCAAGTTTGTACCCTTTAACATCTCCCTAATTCTCCCACCCCCAGCCTCTGATATCTTCCACTCTTCTCTCTGAGTCCAGATTTTTTAGATTCCACATATTAGTGACAAACTTTTTAGATGGTTTCTCTGCTGAGATTTAGCATGCCTATCTTACCTCTGTCAGCACTTTTAGTTTCTGTTATTCCTCCTACCATCCCTGAAATATTATTGTCCCCTAGGGATATACCTGCATATCTTAGAGGATATATACACTAAACTCACTTCTCTCCCTTGTCCCATTTGTTTCCCTTTCATTTTTCCTTTTCCATAGTGACCTTGTAACCCATGCTGTCGTTTAAATCAGCAACGTCAGCTGACTTAGTTATCATTGTACACTTGCTTCTAGTCGGTCGTGAACTTTCAGTATCAACTCTTCTCTTCATTCTCTGCACCCTTCACCCTTAAGAACAACAGCCTTCCACAGTCTGCTCTGTGTTGGCATAGTTAAAACTTAGAAGTTTTTCTTCCATCATTTTGGCTGGTTCCAACATTTACTTTTCTCTGATTGCTGACTTTGCCCTCTATAGGACCTTCAGAGTCTGTATTCATAGTCTGTCTTGCTTCTCTAGCTAACAACATCTAAAGGAAGTAAACACCAGCATCCCTTTGCTAGGGACCTCTAGGCTTACTGTCTGCCAAGATGAGACTTAAAATTTTTCCTGCAGAGCCAGTCAGAGGGTAATGGCTATGATTTAAACCCACATTTGTCTGATTCCCCCCAAAGGTGCTGCCTCTCTGAAAGCAAAATTTGTTTATTTTAGTTGAACAAAAATTGGGGCTATTGAAAAATTCTCTCCATCTTTGTAAAGATTCCATATGTTTAAATCTGTGGAGTTTCTAAAGGCATATTGTTTTGACTCTCGAATAAAAATGTTCAAGTTGCTTGTTTAGATATAGGACATCTGTGCTGGAGAAGAATAGTCAATGTGTTGTTAATTTTGTATAGCAGTGGTAGGGTGAGCTACTCTGTTTTCTTGAGAATGAGAAGATATTATTTTCTGTTTGAAAATATTATTTTCTTTAGGTTTCCACTTTTTTTTATCCTTTCAAGTAAATTGTTAACTTGTGTTATCTTCTGAACATATTAACGTAAGTAAATAATTGTTCAACGAAGTATTATATAGAGGAAAAACTGCAAAAGTGCTTTTAAAATCATACACTATCAATTAGAGTAATTGCTGCAAAACATGCATAAAACCTTTATTTTAGATTACTTTAGAGCCTGGCCATCCTGTTGCCTCCAAGTCTGATTTCTACTTATCTAATTTTTTCTTTATGAAAATAATCTGAATATTTTTTCACACTTTTATAAATTTAATTTAAAATTTGAGGTCAATTCTAGCTCTTAAAGAATGCACAATTACTAGACATTTACTTTCAGTATTTAAGGAAATTTCCTTATAAGTATTCAGTTATCTCCAAGTATATATATTTTTTAATATAAATATTAGGAAGAAATAGAGCCATTTCGATTATCACAAGGGACAAAGACTATTCCAGCTTTTATCTCCACCTTGCAAAAAATTCTTAAAGGTTTTATTCTCTTTCTTTAGAACTTAGAACTCAGACAACTTCATTTATAATTGTTTGTGTTTCTAGGGACCAATTTTAAAATGCAGTACATGTATTTTCTGCATTAATATACCTACTGTACTTACAATTTTCATGACTACACAAGGCCAGCTGAAGATTTTCTGTTACCCTCTGGAAGTTTACAGTTATGTAAATATATATAATTGATAATTAAAGACAGACTGTAAAATTTTAAAACACATTCATTCATCTAGCAAACATTTCACAACACAGAGAAAAACATTTTTAACCAAGAAAAGTCAATTCATAGGAAAGGTCTTTATGCATCCTCAGTGCCCTTAAGTAATACCATCAGGTATGCAGCAGTAGTTATAATGTTGAACTCATTACATCCTATTGATTCATTTAATAATTTTGTTAGTTCTGCCCACTTTGGACAACTGAATTGTCCAAGAGAATCCAATTCTCTTCATAAGTTTAGTGAATATTTAGTGAATATTTGAATTATATTGAATAATATAAATTTTTAATTTTTTGTTTCATTTCTTGGGTTTATATTTACCAATTTGTTTTTTTTTTACATATTTTATATACATGTTAAATTCTAGGATCTATGCTGAGCACCAGAGACACAATATTGCAAAGGACAGACATGCTCCCTGTCCTGAGAGTCTGAGAAGATTAATGTAGGTATAATCAGAAGTAATGTCTTTCACACTCTTTGAAGGCAGTAATATCTAAGCAAAGAAGAGAGTAAGTTTTACCGACAGAGAGAATGGAATATTCAAGGGTCCAGAGAAAAGAAAGTATGTTCAACTGATAATAGTTAATCATGTGAGTTGAGGACTAGAGAAGCAAACAGGGTAAGTCTTGACAGATTTCAAACTATATCTTCATGGAAATAGTAAATAATTAAAGAAGAATAGCATTAAGAAGAGAACATAGTCATATTTACATTTTTTTAAAGTAGGCTCCCATGCCCAGTCTGGAGCCCAACATTGGGCTCCAACTCACGATCCTGACATCAAGCCCTGAGCTAAGATCAAGAGTCAGATGCTTTACTGACTGAGCCACCCAGGCACCCCTCATAGTTACATTTTAGAAGGATCAAACTAACTTCAGTGGGTGAAAAAATTAGTTGGATATGAGAGGAAGCAGGGTAGCCAATTAGGATTCATTGTGATACAGCCAAGAAATGGTGGGAACTATTAGAGGAGTGGTAGTGGGATGAAAGGAAAATGTAAGATATCTGGGGAGTACAATCAGTAGTGTGAGGAGATGGAAGGCAACAGTGTGTACTGTGCAGCTAGCAGGAGAGAGTGCCCTTTATATAGGCTATGATGGTAGGCCACACAGTGGACCCCCACAGATGATACCCAGGTTTCTGGCTTGAGTAACTGGGAAGATGGTAATCTTATTCACTGAGGGAAAATAGGAAAAGATATGCTATAAGGGGGATAATGAGTTCAGTTTGAGGTGTCTATGGAATATTAAAAGGTTCATGACCAATGTGTAATGGGATATATGAGTCTGGAGCTCATGAAGATTTTTTTGGCATTAACTGTGGATCAGATAATATCCGCATATAGGTAATAGTTAAAGATATAGGAAAATGAACATTTTCAGGGAGAATTAGTAAAATGAGAAAAGTTGAGTGGCAAAACACCCTATTTAAAACATGGAAAGGAAGAATAGGAAAAGGCCCTGCTGCTGAAGTAGGAGGAAATTCCGTTTAGGGTGATGCTGTAGAATAAAGTGGAAGAGAGAGGTTTTTTAAAAGGAAGGAGTAGTTTACGTGCCAATTGCTACCAAGAGGTCAAGTATGGTAAGAATTAAAACCTAATTATTACATTTATAAGTGAGATAATTATTAATGAGCTTGGTAAAAGTATTTCTTGTGGAAATGGCTGAGAGTGGGAACCAGAATGTGATGGGTTGTGGGAGGTGAGGAAGTGGAGACAGGGAATGTAGAACATGCTTTGGACCATTTAGAGTGTGAAGGAGAGGGGAGAGAGGAAGGCAGTGAGAGGAATATGAGTTCAGGAAGGATTTTTCTTTTTGAAGAAGGGTAGAACTTTAGCATGTTCACATATTGATGAGAAAGAAAGATGGAAGAATGTAAGATGATTAAGTTCCTCAGGAGGAAAAAGAAGAGTCCCTGGAGAACTGGTAGAAAGATTAGCCTTCAGTAAGAGGAGGTGGTAATTCTCTTTCACTGTGATAGGAGGGAAGGAAGAAAAACAGACATAGATGCAAGTTACTTTTTTGGTTCAATGGCCAGATATGGGGGGAATTTCAAGATGGTAAAGTTGGAAGCAGAGTCATCTGTTAAGAAAAGGTGAGGGAGGATGGAGCAAGGAATGAGAAGTTTGAGAGTAATAATGATGTCAAACATTTATTGAACTGTATGTTTCAGGCGATTTGCTGTGAAATTTTACATGAACTAATTCAGTTAATCCCCGAAGCAATCCTATGGCTTAATTGCCATTATTCCCATTTTAGAGATGAGGTTGGGAGTAGGCTTGAACTAGTCTCTGAGAACAGGAAAACAAGCTGACATGGTCCTGTTGAGGTTAGAGACCATGAAATTATAATGGCACTAAGCTAATGGATCTCACATCCTCATGACAGCCTGAATTCAAACTTTCAAAATAGCTATCATGAATATGGCTTGAAGACATCTGTTAATATATTATGTTAAAATATCTATTATGTGTGTATTTTTCCCACAGAAGGGAAGAGTGTGGGTCTTAATCATCATAGTACTCTCCCACTTAGTGCTGTCCCAGGCTCATAGTAAGTACTTAGAAGGTTTATATTAAATCATTTTTAAACTTGTTTCCACCCTTCCTTGCTTTTTAGACCTATCAAATGCTTTCTTTCTTGATTTAATATTCCAAATTCTTCCAACTGTTCTACATATGATTTTGTTCCAAATCTTTCATGTTCCTGCTAATACTCTGCTGCAAGAGCTTGACTGTGTTTATGTTTATATCTTTAATATGTAGCATTCACAAATAAATGTAACAATGCAGCTATAGTTGAGAAGAACGAGTCTAACATCAAAGTTACAGATTTGACAATCCTCTTTTTGTAAATTAAGAGAAATATAGCAGAATAATGATTATAGTTTGAAGGTAATGATTACAGTTCAAGTATGTTACTCTCAGGCACAAAGATTTTTTTTTTTTTTTATCAATTTCTTCTACTGAAATGATATGGTTGTTAGCCTATACCTATGAAAGGATAAACCCAACTATCCTAGTAAATGTTTAGCTCAAGTCTGACTCCTAAAGTTCAGCAAACATCTCTACTTCTCTATCCCCTGTTAGTTGATATTTGCTTATAGAAAGAAAACAATTCCAAAATTAGCACAACCAAAGCAGAAAGAACCAGCCCTGCTAACAGCTTCACATTAGCCCAGTGAGATTCATGTCAGACTTTGGACCTCCAGAATTGCAAGATAATAAATCTGTGTTGTTTAAGCCATCTGATTTCAGTAATCTGCTATAGCAGCAATAAACTAATACAGGGGATTACATGTTGAAATTATACATTGGGACAGAATTAAGGACAGGGTACTAAAATTTTTTTGCAGAGATGATCATTCTACTTGCAGTGAATCAGTAACTAAAGCAGCTTCTTCACCTTCAACCTTCATAGACCTACTTTTCCCTGACTGACTTACTGACTTGACTTTACAGTCTATAGCAAACTATCAGCCCACAAATTATCAGATCTGCATGCACTTAAAAAAAAAAAAAAAAAGAATGAAAACACAAGCTCAGAAAAAATGGCAGCTGATGTGCTTATAAAACTTAGGCTACTGGTCATAACACAGTAATACAGTTAAATTTAGCTATTCTCCAAAACATCACAATTGATGTATCAATTTACTAAGGTAATTTTCTTCATTGATGACATAATAATGACATTTATCATTTATTTAGCATTTATACTATGCCATATACTACGATGAGAATTTCACATATGTAATTTCATTTGATCCCACAATATCAATATATAAGAGATTTTATCCCCATTTTACAGATGAAATTTAAGCAAACTGGCCCCTGTCACAATGTTTGTAGGAATATCTGACTCTAAGGTCCATTTCTTTGTGGAAGGTCTAGGAAGATAGATTGGTAGCATCAGGCCTCTTCTCTTATATTTAAAATAATTGGGTCAACTCTAGTATTGGTTTTGCATATCTGTGTTTCTGCATAAAAACCACTCACCCTTGATTTTTGCTTTGCTTTGCTTTGCAGAACATAACCTATTCTAGGAACAAGTGTCCTTTTTGAAGTTTGTGCTGTGGACATTTAATTAAAAGGGAAGATATGGAACAAAATGGTATTCTGTGACCTGGAGTCTATCAAAGAAGGCTACCTTCAAGAGTTCAAAATTTGGCAGCATATTTTTGCTTTAGACTTTACCATGACATGTAAGAATTTATCTACAGGGCAGATATTTAAAAATTAACTTATAAAATAATTTGTTGGACTTCTATCGAACTGAAATCAAAATGTAACAAGATAGGTCAAGATTGTATACATCTAATATAGCAGGATAGATGTTAAATCATTGACAAACTATTCAATTTAATTGTTCACTGGCCAATATGAAGTTAGGTAAAAAGAACAGGTTTCTTGTTGGGTCGAACTGTGCTGAATATTTGAATATTTTTACTGAATATTTAAAGGTGATAGAGATGGAAGAGATGGAAGAATTCAACTCTTGATTTGTCTTTGATGTTGCTTGAGAGTAAAGGGGACAAATGCATTTGACACAGGTAGAAACAGGAGATGTATGTATCAGACCTAACCAAAGTATTAAAATTAAACTGATTTATTTTTTAAAATGAGAAAGTTGGCATTTGGGTATTTCCCTAGTATTACTCTATAAATTTGTCAAAACTTGGTTGCTGAAACTCCTCTCTGAAACTAATGGATAACACATCAGTTATCCTCATTGATGACTTGGTATTCCCTACAACAAGCTACATGTTCCCTCTCATCTCTGGATATATCTTGCTTACTGCCTACCAGAGCTGCTCTTTCCTTTCTTCTGCCAAGGTTAATGATTTCCATTTTTCAAAATACTGGTAAGAACTTATTCAGTCCCTTTATCCAAAATATATATGTATATTTATTAAGCACGTACTTAGTACAGGTGGCAGGAAACATACAGATTCTGTCTTTTAGAAGCCTAATTTGTTAGGAGGGACAGACAAGAGTAAAGAAAATTATAAGAAGTAGTAGGGATAAGAGCTGTGACACAAGTCCATATGAAGTCTTAAGGATATACAGAGAAAGTGTGCTTTTCATGAAGCTTTCATAATTTACTCTATACAAATGGTAATAATATTAAACATATATTATCATCTGTGTATAAAGGTACACTACAAAGTGCCATATGTGCATTATTTCATTTAAATCTCACAATAACCTGGGGGTTAGAACTATTTTTCATCTCATTTTTATAGATGAGGACTCTAGGGCTCCAAGAAGTCAGAACAGTTTCTCCAAGTCACATAGTAATCAAGTGAGATTAAGTATGAGATAAGCAGAAAAGGATGCAGATCTTTCACCCCCAAAGGCTGTCTTCTTATTATAGGATAGAGCTTCCTCAAGGCAGTGTTTTTTAGTCCTGTAGCCCATGAAGAAATCGCTCTGCTCAGTGCGTGATATTTGATAGTGGGATTTCTGTACATTTCTTTGTGTATCTCTCTTCCATTATGTTCTGCTTCTTTTATTCAATAGTGAACTTCTTGAAGACACCACACATTTATTTTGGTTGACAGTGTGTCTTCCCAATGCTTATTTGTAATAGAAGGCTATCCATATAGATTTTGGTCAGTTGATTACTAATTAAGCCTGGGGAGAGAAGGATAAAAAAATAGAAAAGAGATCAATTATTGGTGATCTGATTAAGCAAATGGGGAAAACATGAAGAAAAGTTATTAAAGTTAAAAATTTTGAACATCAAAATGATTCCCATTCTGGTTTGGATTTAGTTTTATCCAGCCCCAATTCTGTTTTTAACAAAGGCACAAAGGACTATGTTATGATGAGAAAGAATATTCTTGTTTTATATTAATCTCAAAGATTAGAAACATTTACAAAATCCCAACTTTATGAGACTTTTACATTAGGATTTTGTGGTGGGCACAATTCTAAGATGACCCCTAAGATTATCAGTACCTTGGTATATATACACTTTCTCCCAGTTAATTTGTTAATTAAACAACTCATCTAGGTGCTGCTGGGAAGGGATTTTGCAGAAGTAATTAAAGTCCCAAATCTTAAAATGTTCTTGAGATTGGGAGATTGTAATTAGTGGGTATGACCACATGAACCCTTAAAAAGACCTGGGCTCTTCTTGGAAAGAAATTTTAAGTGTCAGAGGGAGATTCTCTTTTGTTGGCTTTGAGGATGGAGGGTACTATGTGGCAGGGATGGATGGGTGGGCTCTAAGAGCTGAGAGTGGCTGCTAGACTATAGCCAGCAAGAAGATAGGGACCTCAGACCTCCTTACAATTGTGAGGAATTGTATTTGTGAAGAACTAGAATAAGTGTGGAAGCAGATTCTTCTCTAGAGCCTGATAAAAATCACAGCCTGGCTAACAGCCTGAACAGCAAGTGCAGCCAAACTGCTCCTAGACTTCTGACCCATAGAACTGGGAACAATAAATGGGTATTGTTTTAAGCTGCCAAGTTTGTGGTAATTTGTTACACAGCAATAGGAAACTCACGTAGATTAAAAAACAAAACAAAACAAAACAGAAAAATCTCAGTCTGTGTTTCTTATTGTGATGATTTTTTAAAGTATACTCCACACCATTCAAAATAATCTTGCCTATTTTCTATTTAAAACTTTGCTCTTATTTTCAATTCATGTGATCAATACTGATGACTTAGGGATTTGGTAAATGAATTATTCATGGCACTAATATATTTGTTAAATCTTGGTATTTCTAGGCCCAAGAATCCTAATCACTTTAGTCTGTTTGCATGCAGAAGTGCATCCATCTCCTTGATTATTTTAGCTGGTCTTTTAAAAGTATTTTTCCTGAAGACCAGTGATTAGACTTGAATAGGAATGCATGTGATAGACAAATCAGGATTTTGTACAAAGGCAAAATAGTCTTTCTGAAGTAAAGAAAGAAATGGAGGCTTAGGAGGTTATATGTAGCATTAAGTAGCAGACTACTTCTTACCAAAAGCACTTCTACTATTACATTTACTACAAAACATGTATGTTTTGCATTTACTATTGTGTTTTTGGTCAGAAATGGTCTATATAAGTAGTCTTTCTACATTAGACTGTGGAGTTGAATATTTCAAATCCAAAACTATTAATGGCAGATTCTAAAAACCAGAATGGAAACCTTGATAAATACCTTTGTACTCCATCTGCAGGTCTTAAGAAAAAGGAGGTTTAATCTGTGTCAGGAACCTACCATTTGTTCACTTTGGAGAGCTGGAAAGAAATTACAATGGGGCTGGCACTGGAACCTGGATGTTCTTGGCTCTTGTGGATCCTTCTTTTCCACAGGGTTTCTTTCTTCATTATTTCTATCATGTGACTGTGGCTAGAAATGCTTCCTGATAAGGGGATGCCTCTGGAGGAATCCTGGAGCAGGAGGTAGGGTGCTTCAGTTTGAAAAACTCCAGGTCTTTAGAGGAGTAAAATAGGTAAATGAAGCCCACAAGCTCATTTATGCTCTATCTCCATTCACTAGGGTCAAAGCACAATGTTTGGCACATAAAAGGCATTCACTAAGAGTTCTGTGAGTGCACAGATCAGAGGCTCTCAAGACACCTTCCCCCAAGGTTTGATGATTTGCTAAGAGGAGTCACAGGACTCAGTCTATAGTTTCACTCATTGCTGTTATTTTTTTACAGTGGAATAATATAATGTAAAATTAGCAAAGGGTAAAGGTGCATGGGGAAATATGTGGAAAAAAAACAGGTGCAAGATTCCAGAGTCCTCTCCTAGTGGTCACACAGGATGTGCTTAATTGCCCCAGAAATGAGTTGTGACAATACGTGTGAAATGGGAAGTTCATTAGAAACTCATTTCCAGGCTTTTTACTGGGAAGTGGTCACTTAAACAGCCTTTGCTTAGCATTCCAAACTGCTAGAAGGAAGGCAGGTGTTTAGCATAAGCCATATTATTTGCACAATCAGGCACGGTGAGTCACTCTTATTAGTTAGTGTGGTGAAATCTCTCCCCAAATCTAAGCTCTGAGCTGCTAGTTGAGTCAACCTCGCAAACAGCCCTCTAGAAGTATAACAGTCTCAGGCCTACTATGTTAGCTCTTTACTGCATAGTGTCAAAATAGAGATTTGGAACCAAAGACCTACCCAGTATATACTTGGTCAATACCCTTAGGAATGGAACAGGTTGATTCGTAGCCAGAAAAGCATTTGAATATTTTTATGTTTTAGCCACCACAGCCTGTCCAATAAATCTATCTTAAAGGAAAATGTGGACTATGGGAAATTAAAGTAAGATTTATGCATGATATAGTGTCCCTTAAAGCTCTGAATGAGCCCATTAAGCTATTTTTATGCAGTGCCTACTATGTGTTAAGCATATTCCTGTTATAGAATTATGTGAGCAAGAGAAAAAAAGTCTCTGCTCTCTGGACCTGATACTACAGTGAGGGGAGACAGACAAATACAAACAAATAAATAAGTGATAAGTACTAAGTAAATTAAGGATAAGGATGGGGAACTGTAGGATGATAGGGGGTATATTTTAAATAGTTTATTTTGGGAAGGCCTCACTAATAAGGTAACATTAAGAAAAGACTTGAAGAATGTAAGAGAGTAAGCCATGTAGATATATAGGAGAAATCATTTCAAGTAGAGGGAAACCCAAATGCAGATGCAAAGATTTTGAGATATGAGTGTAAATAGTGTAATCAAGGAAGAACAAAGAGGGAATATAGCTGAAGTAGATTGAGCCAGGAAGATATGAAATGATGGAAGGACCAGAAGATACAGAGCCTTGGGACTTTATAAGGACTTTGGTTTTTACTCTAACATAAGAAGTCATTAGAGGGTTTAGAGTAGAGAAATGTTACGACCAAACTTTGTTTAAAAGAATACCCTGGCTATTGTGTTAAATATATATATATGGTTGGGGCAATGGCAGAAACATAGAGACCAGATAGAGCAATGATTGGATTTTTCAAACTGGGGATAATGGTGACCTTGAGAGGACCAGTTTTGGTGAATGTCTGTCAGCTTTATATAGTTTCTGGGAACAGAAACTTATTCTAGCTGTTTAAGTAAAATCATCAGGAACAGAAACAGCTCCAGGGACTATATTCTACATAGGCCCCAAAGAACTCAATCTTTCTTATGGCTCTGGATTGTCCCAGTTCATTTGGAGCAGAATCTACTGCATGGCGTCACTGGATGCAATCTTTTGGCTTATGCCCTTACTGTTAACTTACTCAGTATCCCAGTTTTTTTTATTACTGAGAGAACTTGTTTTTTACTCAGCTTTTCATACTAGGGTATAAATTTTAAGATATAAGTCACCATCAGCCCATATAATCACTTCCTTTGGATTAGGTTTCCATCTCCATGTGGTCACTTATGACTGGTAGGAGTGATGAGAGTTGGAATTGTATGATAGAGAATATGGAACTATGCAGAAGGTGTGCATAAGGTTGACACTGTGACAGTCTTTGAGACAGCTTAGTGACAGTCTCAGAGCATTTTGAATTGCATCATTCTGTTTTTTTTTATCCCTTTGGATCCCTACATTTGTATCTTTGGGGTAAATACCCAGTAGT